ATTCGAGATGAACACGTCCACTTGTCGACACGGTCGATTTCTCATACAACCGCCAACAACCTGTATAACATTGTTTGAATACCACTCGGAGTTTTCGTTGCGATACAACGGTTCTAGATGGCTGGGTGCATCTCGAATACACACGGCCTTGGAACCTCTTCATACGCGCAAAGTAGTGCTTACGGTGCTTACGGTGATGCTAGACTTACCCTCGTTAAGATCGTGCTGCCCTTACCGCAGTATATTTCCTTCGATCGCATCGTTCCTCGTAACTTGATGTCAAACCTGAGCGATAGATGTGCAGTTTTTTATGCACAAGAAAGCGCCCTCGGCCAACATGACGGTCATTGCCAACCAAATTGAGTCCTTCATCGGACTGGATAAAAAGCATCGGTGGATGTGGTATGTCTCGAAACTGCCGAGGCCTAAATTTGTGGGGATGTTGTTTCGTGCCAGTCTGAGGTGAAATCGCAACCCTCAGATCGAGAATAACACGACCGATCAGCTGGTAAGATTCAGGGCGGTCTACCGCAAATGTCATGGTCGGCCTAACTGTTGTTTGTTCAGAGCCATCGTCAGCTGACCTGGTAGAGAGCACCCTGATCATGCTAGCCATCTCACGATTGTCAACAACAACTAGGTGGATCATCGCGGCGATTTGCAATCTGAACCGCCTTTTCTAAAGCCTGCGTTGCGATAAAATCTGTTGAACTTGTCAAACCCGGTATCTCTTATCACTTCCAAGGCTTTTGTTGTATGGTAGTGAGAGTTTCGAACTCTGCGCACCGCCATGTCCACTCTCCCTAGAAGATGGCCGACTGGGAAGAATCCCATACGTCGTTTCCCATCCCAATACTTATGGGTCTGTCCTTTCGAACCGAGGAACGTTATCGGCGCATCGCGATGTGATAGGATGCGATCCACTTCCCTACGTACGCCGAGATCGTTGTAACGGACGCGAAATGAGTTGTGGCTTGTCGGTTGTTTATTCCGAACCGCCAAGTCCTCGAGTGTTTCTTTTACCTCTCCCCATCACGAATCCATCAAGCACATCCCAGAAAACCGTCAAAAAGTTCACGTATCGCATCTCTTCGTCGACCTCGCGAGCCGAGGCACCCCAAATGGCGTGGTGCAACGCTCTTTAGATGTTGGGGCCGAGGGCTGGCGATGCCATTGACGAGTTTCACGCCTGACAACGATGTGTAGCTGTCACTGCAGGCAAGCAGATATATAAGATGTATTCATGCTCAAGGAGTAGATAGGTACCAGCGAAGATTACTTCAAGGCAATCACTCATTGGCAGTCAAACTTCGACATTCTTTCGTTAACATTCATTTTTGAGATCCATTCGCATCATCACTCTTCCCATTCTCTCATTTAGAACCACCATGAAGGTCTCCTCAACTATCAGCTTTCTCGCTGTCTTTGCGTCAGCCTCGGCTTTTCCGACCTATGTCGCCCGTCAGGCCTGGGTGCCCAGGAACTGGACGGCTCCAGGTCCCACTGATGGTTAGTAGAGATATCTGGTCGTAATAAGGCCATCCAACTAACCAGTGACTCAACAGCACGCGGCCCATGCCCCGGCATGAACACTCTCGCCAACCACGGCTACTTGCCGCACGACGGACGAAGAATCACCCGCGACATCCTCGCCGACGCCATGCTCGAAGGCTTCAACATCGCCAAAAGCGACGCCATCATCCTCTTCTCGCAAGCCGTGCGCACAAACCCAGAGCCGTTCGCACGTACATTCGATCTCGACACGCTGGGCCGTGAGGGCGTTCTAGAGCACGACTTCAGTCTAAGTCGCTCCGATCGCTTCTTCGCCAACCCCCTCCCCTTCAACGAAACCGTGTGGGCGGAGACAGCCTCTTTCTTCACAACACCTGAAATTACCGTTCAGCAGCTCGCAGATGCCCGCATGGCACGACTTGAGACATCTAAGAAAACCAACCCGGAGCACAAGGCTTCGTTGTTGGCTGACGGGTTTAGTTGGGGTGAATGTGCTTCGTTCTTTGAGATCATGGCGGATGGGACTACGAGTACTGTTAGGAAGGACTTTATTGAGTACTGGCTGCGTAAGTTTAAACCTTTGTCTTTTGAGAGGATGGATGGAGAGTAGTGGCTAACGCATTCCATGCAGGAAACGAGCGCATGCCTACCGAGATCGGCTGGACTCGCCGCCCGACTGTTATGCAGACTAGTGAGCGTACCAAGTTCACTCGCGCGCTGATGGAGGCTGCGGGTCAGGGTACCGGCTTTTCGTTGTTGCAGTGAGCGGCTTTGCGGGTTGTAGTTGGGTCTCACGTGCTTGAAGCTTAGAGGAAAGAAGGAAGAAGTATGGTGTACAAGCGCAAGACGCTCGAGGAATTTCGTTATGTACATATCATATGTTATAGGCGTACGGACTCCAACTTTATCCAATCACGTAAGATCTTTTCCTGCACGCTTAAGAACCACTGGGTCCGGGGCATATGTCAAAGTTACTCTAAATCAGCTACGCAGCCCTGGGATCTACAGACCTTTTCTGAATTACAATACTCTCGATTCGTTCACCAATGACATGCTTGGTCGGACTTAGTCATCAGCCTCATATCTCTGCCTAAACCGCTTCTTTCCGCCTTCTCTTCTGTCAATCTCACTTCTTCTATCCCAAGCTTAACGGCATCCAAGTGAATCTAATAGGAATCTGCACTCGTATCATATCAATCAAAATAACGTCACAATACCACCGGTCGACTGCGACACGAATTCATTCAACGCTTCACGCTAGCGTATCGCAGCCTGGGACGATCCGCTGGGCTCAATGGAAGCTCTCCAGGCGCCGTTTTCTACGACCTCTGAACCATCGCCATATAGACCTATCGATTCAGACGGAGGAGAGGTTCGCTTAGTCGAATTGTCGCCAGGTGGTTATGGCGACCCCATCAGCCTGTCACTATGTACCATCAAGCTGAAAGAGCAGGTGAATGACCAGGCGGCATACCATGAACACTCCGATAGCACGAACTCGGATGATGAGGAATCTCATGAGGGTAATTTGGAAAAGGGCGGATCATATGGATCGGTTCCGCTTAAGCAGGGTTTCTCGCGCCGATCTGGATATGAAGCTCTCTCATATGCGTGGGGAACAGCGATTAGCCCACTGAAAGTACGGGTTGATGGGACCGATATGTCGATCACCGAGAATCTCGATCAGGGCTTGAGGCGTCTCCGATTCGATGATCAACCCCGTGTGCTTTGGATCGATGCAATATGCATCAACCAGCGAGACCCAGAAGAGAGGTCCCATCAAGTTCAGCACATGGCTACGATCTATAGGTCAGCGAAGCAAGTGTTGATATGGCTTGGCGAGTGGCCAATCTCTACATGTTGTTTGCGCCCCGCGGACTGCCAAATGCTTTGGAGAAACACAGTAGGAGGAAATGACTGGAGAGAAGTGCCCTCATTACCACGCCACATATATCAACATTTCACAGAGATCGTGGCACTGCCCTGGTTCAGTCGCCTCTGGATCATTCAGGAGTTGGCATTAGCGAAAACAGACCCTGCCATAATGATTGGCAGCTTGACTATCAGATGGTCAGACTTTGCCTCTGCAATCGACGGTATAGTTTGTTACCAATGGCTCCACGTGCCAAAAGATCTTCGGGGACGACTTGAATCGGGTGTGACGCAGTTGTTGTCATTGGATGTGATCAGGTGTCTTTCCGACCGCCATCGAGGCTTGTATTGGTGCCTCTTCAATTCGCAGTGCGCCGTAGCTACAGATCCACGCGACAAGGTATATGGACTGCTGGGGCTATGCGACTTCCAAGTCACCGAACCAATCGCGGCCGATTACTCGAAACCGCTGCAACAAGTCTTAGCTGAAGCTACTCTTGTCTCGCTCTTGGAAGAGTCTGCGTTTACTTATCTCGCCCCCAACGCGTTCTCTCCAGACACATTTGATCAAGATCGCTATGGGTCATCTTGGGTGATAGATTTCTCTTCGATGCAAGATTGGCATGGATATTTCATAGAGGTCAGTCCACGATTGAGCTTGGAAGAGCGCCAGAGGCGGCGGAACTCAGCATACCTATCAGTACACGGCCTGACCCTTCACGTATATGGTAGGTATGTTGGTACTGTCTGCGGTGTCCACACCCGCATATTGACGGATCGTCCAACGCACAAGACTCGTTCTCGGATACCAGACACTGAGATCTACGACTTCTACCACAACTTTTTGAAAGCACGAGGCATAACTCCGCGTACTCTTCTGGACACAATAAGAAGGAAAGGCACCAAAGACGAAGACGTTGATCAGTTCGCCAGTCTTCTCTCTAGTAGCAGAGAGGTCTTCTGCGCAGATTCAGCAGACCACGGCATACTATGCCGTGATTTACTTTTTACTAGGGAAGGACATCTTGGCATCTCATGGCATTCAAATCGTGGCCTTATACCTGTCGGCGCAATTCTGGTCTATTTATTTGGGGCTGAAGTACCTTTTATCTTAGCACCAGTACCAGGAACTCAATCATACGAGATGATTAATGTCGCTTACGTGCCGGGATATGGCAATCGTATCTTGGAAGATCCATACCAGCACAGCTTGCGGGCGACTTGGATTGACTTCGCCGCAGAGGGTGGACAGGAGTACGCCATCGTGTAGTCTCTTCTACGGATCTGATGTCGAATACCAACAACGATCACATTAAACGCAGACTTCTGGAACGGTCGCGACCAGAGACTAGACTCTAAGGCAACAACGATAGTGGCGACGAGGTCCTACAAAACGTGCGGTCGCGGATATCGCTAGTAGTCACCTTTAATGCAGCCACGCTTTCTCACTACATCTGTTTTGATGGAAGGGATGAGAAAGAGGTTGCTAGAATTGTGAGAACGAGTAATGTATGGTTATGGTTGCACTATTCCCACATGAGATACATGTCACACAACCGCAAAACCCCCGAACAACGTTCCTGACCTCGAGCCCAACGTGCATCCAAGTAATTCTTCTAATGTTCGTTGCGATCAGGTTGATCGTAACGATTCCCAAGCCTATACGTTAAGTCTGCTTCAGTCAAACCCTCGTGCACTGCCTTGTTGTACGCCTTGAAAGCCGCAGACAATTGCACTACTTGACTCAAGTGCGCTTCTGTAAGTTGGGGGACGCATTCCGCCTCCGGGCGACCCTTTTGCTTTGCTGTTTTTGAGGCAGCGATTGCGAGAGCAACAGCGGTCTGGAAAGCTGATGAAGGTCAGTATAAGCTGTCAAACATTGCCCGAAGCTGGTACCCACCGTTCCGTATCTCTCGCCCGTTCCAGTGGAGACTTTTGACCTCTTCGCTTTTTCGTACGTATTGCTTAGCGTCGTAGTCGTAGTCGATCCTCGGTCCTCCATCCCTATGGTTTTCTTTGAGTCGTCTGAAGAAGGAATCCCAGATTTGTTCTCGAGCTTGATCGTCTAACGGCTCGTAGCCGATAGCCACATGTATTCGTGACATGAATGCTTCATCAAAGTGTCCAACCCGATTTGTTGTGAAGAATATGATTCCTTCAAAGTAATCGAGCGCACGCAGGAAGACTGTACCACTGTTAACAGGAGCTGATAATGCTTGGGCCTGGCTAGCTCTTACTGGAAACGATGCCGTTACGTCTTAGATCCTCGGAAGACCGTTGCGCGAGATAGATGTCTGCTTCATCTAACAACACTATTGCATCCCAGGCTGCCGCGTTCTTGAAAAACCGTAGAAGGTTTCGCTCTAGTTCGATAGGTTCGTGCCCCAGATCAGCTGCCGTTATACTAAGCAGCGGTCGTTTTGTGTATTCTGCGACAGATTCTAGATGATTTTAGAAAAGATCTAGAGTAGAATGATAACCGTACCAGCTGTGAGTGTCTTTCCAGTCCCCGGTGGTCCATGCAAGAGAAATATTTGACCTTCACCCTTTCCGCGTATGAAGTCAACACCCATGAGCTCGGCTTGGCTATCGCTATCGGTGTATGTTTTGACGATGGCTTTAATCATCTCTTTGTTCTTCTCTGGGCGCATAACGAGCTCGTCGATTGCATTTTCTGCAAGAGTGGGCTCTCTTAGACTGTTTACATCGAGAATGTCTACGACTGTCAACTCTCGCCAATGCTAAGAAGCAGCTGGAGTACATACCGTATGTTCGATCCTTGAGAATGAATCCGAACATGTGTGACATGCACAATAGTGCCTGATGCTCGGATAATCCTTTTACCTGACTGGGATCAAGGGTATCGTAGTCGCTGAAAGTGAGAGATATAGTGGCTCCCTTTGTACTATCGACAAGCTTGCATTCGAAGCACTCGCAACGAGGAACCCTGGCTCGTGATCCCGGGACTACCGGCCCTATCCCTTGATGCTGAAATGGTTTACCATATAATGGCGGTGGCAAAGAGCTATAAGGGTTTCTAGGAACTTGATGAAGGTCATCAGTGGTAGAAAGATCCCATTCACTTGCACTGGAGAACTCGCTAAGTGTCCAGGGTAATGACTGGTGTTCCACGACTACTCGGGCCCGATGGTACTTGATTCTCTAGTTAGACATCGTCTTGGATCAGCAATACATGTTACGGACCTTTTTTGTGCCCTGTTTCAATCCTGACCCCGAGTATTCCAGAAAAGTAGGCCCTTTCGCATAGCAAAAGAACTTCTCTCCTCTCTCGATCAGCGTATGCCGTAGACTACCCCCATCCAGCTGGTCCCGGAAATATGTCGGAAAGATGGGCAAGGACATTATTTCGCGTTCTCCATCAAACACAGGTACGCTTATGACCTTTGACTTCCTCTTGATGACCTTGCCGTCGAAGACAAGGTACCACACATTAATTTCGTAGTCACTTGCTCTCACCGTCCGCGAACTGTAATCCATTCCACCGCATACCAGTTCCAACACACAAGCATTCAGTTGTCCATATTCTGTGATGTAGACGTCAGATCCAGGCTTCAATAGTAGCCATAAACCCGCAAACGTCGTAGTAGGCACTTTTTGGGCCCACAGGTTCTTGACTGACTGAAGCTGTACAGTAGGTTCTTTGTCCAGGTAGTCGAGTAAGACGCTAATATGACGGTCGCATTTGTCATTGTCTTCCAAAGTGTGGTTCGCTCGCGCGCTGCTTGAACCGTTTTGATACTCAAGTAATTCTGCCCGGTGGTGATAGAGCTCCTTGAACGGGAATGCAAACATACCGTCTACTAGCGGTTCAGTATCATTCGACGAGTATTTGATAAGGGATCGTAAGGCGTTGAGCAGGAGCGAGGACCTGATGTGGAGCCTCTTTGGTTGGACAGTATCGCCAGGACCCAGAATAAGGCTTGAATCGGAAATATTACCACCGTCTTTCTTCTTGGCACCTGTCGACTTTCCTAAGATAATGTGATGGATTTCCTCAAGGACATGGTCAGACTCGCCATTCAGATTTGAACTTTGAATCACTACAGGTGCGTCCCAAGTTTTGCTGTACAGGAAGTTTTCCGGTTCTCCAGTGTATTGCGATTTGGAGTGGAAATCGATCCGGTACTTCACTACTATCATTGCCGAATCCATTGTAGCCTGTGCATCGGCCGTTTTCTGCTTAGCCGCAGTAATTGGAGGCGATAGAGGCACTCCAAAACGACCAGGTGGGTGCAAGCTACCATATTCGGAGTCTGAGTCAGTATCTTCTTCCTGCGAGTCTAGTCTGATCTCCACACATTGCCAGGGCCTAACGCTTAGGTTCCAGTGCTCGGGCAGGAACAGCAATCTACCTTCCATTTGCCGAAGCCTGAATGTGCCTTCATCTATGTTCTGCTTTGCGTCTTCGTTAGACCCGTATGTGAGCTTGATGATCTCTTTCATCCACTAACAATGGCAGCGAATTAGCTAGGTCCTTCCGCTTTGGTATGTGATTCACATACAGTCCATTTCTCACATAACGCCCATGGAACATCGAACGACTCACCCCGATAATGGGACAAAGTTAGGACCCGGGGATCCCGAAGCTCTAGAGAGCTGGCGCTAGAGGGTTTTGAGCCAAGAGGGTTGAGGTTGTGTTTTTCAAGCTCATGAATTTCGTCAATCTCACAGAGGGCTATGATGAGATCATCACCCTGTTTCCTGATGCGAAGTTTATGATCCTTTGGTGATTCATCTGCTTGCCTGTCAGTCAAACATCGCCACGATAACGACGCTAGTTCTAAAATGGCATACTCAATTCTTGGAGCTTTTCACTGTCGCGATGAACTATTGCATTGCAAAACGGCGGTGACTCGTTCGTCTCGCCTCTGGCTGGCTCGGCTGTGCAAATCGTGGTGTTTTCAGCCTCACGACCCTCCACCCCCAGAGTGGGGTCGAGGAGCGTACTGGTGGACATCGATGATCGGCAAGGCAAGAAACAGGCAAGTGGGAAACGCAGATGCTAGAACAATAGATGGAACGCAAGAACAAATCGGGGATGTTGAGGGTGTTATCAACGACGAGCGGTGGCATAAGCATGATAAGCCTGTTGAGGCTGCGCAGCGACTTGACCGGAAACTTGGCATGCATAGAGCGCAGGAAATGCTTGGTGGGCAGTAGAGATTGTTGCGTCACGAGGCATGCCACGCGAGCGGCTGTGCAAAAGCGCCACAAGTCTACGCGAGCCTGCCGCAGAATGCGCTTTAAGAAGCGCGATTAGCTGAAATACCACATGACTCCCCACAAAAATCAACCCTGCCGTGTACCAAAGTAAAGTCTCAAAGACCAAGCCCAACCCAGGACCAGACCGCAGTCTGCGTCAAAGGCGCACTCTATTCTTTCTTGTCTTCGACATCTTGGATGATCGATAGATTCCCAGATCAGAAATCCTCTGCTCGCTTAGGTAGGTATAGGTTCAGTGACCAATCAAATAAGTGCCCGCATAGCCTCATTCAATCTTACACTTTTGATACTCAACTCGATTAAACCCGCGAATAAATTGGTCTGGATGGACGAGTCAAAGATGAGATACGCCGTCGTCCAGCGACGGTGGACGGACGAGCTTACACGGTCTGAGACTACTTCCCGTGGGTCAGGGTTCGTTCAGGATGGGAACAGCATCAAGTATGTGGAGGAAGAGCGGTCAAAGCAGCTGTTTGAGTGCCCAAGTCAGGATGATGAGAGGTCAGTCGCTCCTTCCCGTACCTTTGCGAACATTTGGAACTTACCAGAGTAGTTTTGAGGTGGTAAACATCGCCAGAGAAGAACTTGGGAAGATGATTGCAAGGTTCGATACGGATACAAAGTTGTCTTCTTGGCCAAAATTAGGATCGTCGAAGAAGTCTGCAAAAGCCAAAGTAGCCGAAGTGCTTCACAAATCAGCAGAGAACGAAATCGATGACCTCAAAAGTTCAGTTGAGAACCTTGGGTTGGAGTGGAAGCAGAAACACGGTCCAGTGCGCCTCATGTTCTGACAAACTATGATGCTCTACTGTCGCTGACCATTGGGAAGGTTTTTGCCGCGTTCAAGAAGATTTGCAGTACGCTCGACGACCACAAAAGCATTCTCAAGGTCTTCCCGTCTCAAAACAACTATACTTCCCCTCTGGTCGGCAGTGTAACGATTCTGATGAAAGTAAGAACCTGTTACAAGGAACGCACGGCACAGGTTCGGCGACTGACGCTAATAGGCCGCCCAATCCCACAGCGAAATCTCGCTCAAACTGTCCACATCGATTGCAGAAATATCAGAGAAGGTTTCAACATGCTCAAACGTGCTATCGATAGTGAAGACAGCTCGAGCCAGGACAAAGCTAGCTGCCATCTATGCACGAATGTTCGACTTTTATCGGGCCGCGATAAGCTGGTACATGCAATCGAGCTTTGGCCGTTTAATGCGCAGTTTCAACGAGAATCTCGTAAAAGAGTTTGAGGATGCAAAGAAAGACCTCGAGGTAGATGTTGTCGAGCTTTATCGAGAGGTTGCTATCGCCAATACCGCGATAGTCGCTATGGTGAACGGCCGGGTCAGGAGTCTAGAAGATGAACTGCACCGGCAGCGACGTAACTACGAAGTACGTGACATGCTGGCTGGCCAACGAATGGAGAGGATATTGCAAGCGACATGGACAAACGTAGAGCAAGTTCAGAGCATGATAGCTTCCGCAACTCTTTCCAAGCCAGCAGAGATTGCGCAAAATCTCGTCGTAGATCCTCCAGCTTGTGGTTCATTATATAATCCTCGACATAACCTCGACGCTTTCATCATCGATAAGGAGCAACCGGGCTTCTCAGGTAAAGCAAACCTCTGGGTTTCCGAAAAAGATATCATACACAAACTTCGTCTGTGGATGACAGATAACACGAAATCGCGAACATTGTGGATATCAAGCCCGTATAAGCCAGGTGCAGCCGTCCCGAGCTGTCGAGCAGCAGTCATGGCGACAATAGCTGCAGCATGGCAGGCGGAAACTCCGATAATCTCGTACTCTTGCAGCCGACCACCCAAGAATCAGTTGCGTCCCGGTATGAACGTCGAGCAAGTTGGGATGATCAGCCTGGTATACGGCTTCATCCGTCAGCTTTCACAATTCAGCAAAGTCGACGAGGAGTTCGAGAATCACGATGATGACTTCGCTGCTCTTAACGGAGAACTCTCTTCCTGGGATGCTAGTCTGAGACTTCTGAAGATGCTCCTAAGAAAGGCCCCCGTCGTTACGTTTTGCGTTATCGAAAATTTGAATGATTTGGAATGGAATAACGGCGGAGTCTGGTGCAAGCAGCTGCTCGATGTTTTGAGAGAGTGCCAGCAGGAGCCAGGGGTTTCCTTCAATGTTCTTTACTCGACAACTGGCCAATCGCGAGTGCTGCCTGCATACGTCAGCGTTAGGGATCGGCACATGACGTCAAGTCGAACATGACCTCACGTCAATCAAGAAAAAAACTAAACGGGTCTGCAGCCTACATCAACATGAGAACCTACAAGATAGGTGACCTCATTCTGGAATATGAACAGCCTTGCTCATCGATTTCTCAATGCGTACCTCAATAAGCACATGCAACGAGCGAAGTAATCAGAAGCGTGCATACTTCCATAAGGGTATCACATGTCATTAACAATCTACTATCTCCCTACCTATACTCTCCACACCTCATGCCATGCAAAGCTGAACTTTTCTTTCCACACCCGTTTTAATGCCAAACGCCATGAAAATGCACACAAAACACCCACAAAACATCTACCACCCCTGCCTCCTCCCCTTCTCTCCCGCACTCCTCGCCTTCTTATTAACCCTCTTAACATCATGCCTCCTCCTCTTCTCCTTCATCACCTTCTCAGGATCCAACACAGCGTCTACCTTCCTCTTGCGCCTCCTCTCTTCTCTCCGCTCCCGAACGCCACGCTGCACCTCCGCCATAACATTGAGGTACTCCTGTGTACCCAACCGCTTCTGCAGCGTATTCATGACCTCGCGCGCCTTATCCGATAGCGCTTTGTATGGGTCTACAGGCGGGTTGTTGTTGGAAGTAGGGGCGAGGGCGGCGCTGGCTTTGGGGAAGGTGGCGTCGGTGGATGTTAGGGTGGAGAGTGTGGTGAGGAGGTGGGGGAAGGATGTTGAAAGCGGTTCTAGAGGGAATTTCGCGGCGATGGTGTCGAAGAGGGACATTATGGTTGTTTTGGCGTTCATGGTGGATTTGTCTTTTCGGACGATGCCGGAGAGGCGGATCATGAGGCGGTGGATTGCTGTTGGTGGGGTGTCTTCTGTTTTCTCGGGCGCCTTCGTTTCGGGTGGAGGGGAAAAGCCGGAGAAGTCGTCTTCGTCATCTACAGTTGATGCGGCGCCGTTGGTCGGGGCTGCGGTTTCTCCTGCTTCTTCTTCGTCGTCAGTCTTCTGCCAGTGCCACTGTGCGCCGTTGACAGCGAGGCAGCGCGCGAGGAAAGCGATATTCTTGACGCTCTGCATGCAGAGCTGTTCTGAGACCTCGGGGTTGAGCAGATTCCTCAGGAAGGCATTGCAGAGCTGCGTCATGCTCTGCTCTGTTAGTTGCAGACCACCTGACCCCTCCAGAGGTAGAGCACCAAGACCAGTGTCCTTGTTCGAGACACCCAGATGGGCAAAGTATGTACCCAACAGCTCCGCAGCCTTGAGCTTGACCCATAAGTGCGGGTAAGTTGCGCTTGCTTGTACTGCGGTCCATAGGCTATCCTTGTTCGATGCAAACATGGTGTCGGTGTACTTCTTGCAGATCTTGGAGAGTAGAGTGAGAGAGTAGTACAACAACTCCCAGTCGTCTTCATCGCGTCGTGTCAAACACTCATCAATCGTTGCGTCGAGCCGATCAAGGACGTATGCTACTTCCTTTGGCTCTTCAACCTCCTCCATTGCTTCGAAGTAGAACCCAAAGCATTGAATGCCCAGACGCTTAAGACCAACGTTGTCGTCTTGCTCCAGCCAACTCTTAAGGTCAGACGCGAAACTTTGCAACCGCTTGTCGCTCGCGTGTTGGAACAGCCTCTTGATGAGCAAGCTAGCCATTTCTCGGCATTTGGGTGAATCGTCGTTTGCCACAGTGTTGATCAGCGGGAGGAACATGATGCCGTGGTACTCGTACTGTGCCTTCTCCGGGAAGCGAGGCAGCGCCTTTCCGATGATGAGATCGAGCGCCTCCATGACTGACTGCCTTCCTTCCACATGCTCGTAGCGGAGGTTCTTGAGGAGGAATTCGACCTGCTTCTTGAAGCGCTTCTCGCTCTGCGTGTAGGAGGTCAAGAATTGGAAGTAGTGCGAACGGGCGATGTCGCGCGCGGATTTTGTCTG